CCCATCTAATATACACAGTTCATTTGTTATACCTTACACAGCCTGTTGAGGTAGGTATTAAGTCCTGGGTTTCCAAAGCATTCTTCTAGCCGTGCTCTTTTTTCAAGGATGGTTCTGAGCCGTGGACTTTGGTATTTACTAAGGCCCAAGGTCAGATATTCTGCTGAACTGAAACTTGAGAAAACTTAGAATTCTCTGAGGGATTCTAATTTCAATATGTTTTCATTGCACTAAGCCTTAAATATGCAAAGTAATAAATACTTTGTAGAAATGTTTATGGCATTTTGATTTTTATTATGTGTTCTTGATATTATTATCACCTTTCCTAATGAAGGATAAACACATATTCATTTACCAGGGAAGTAGGGTTTAGGAAAAATAGGGGAGGAGGGAGCATTTTATAGTTGGGTTTCCCCAAATTAGGCACACATAATATAACCAGAAACTTGGTTTAAAAACAGCTTTAGTGAGTTATTATTTGCACATCATGAAATTCACTCATTTTAAGTGGATTCGGTAATTTTTAATAAATTTATACAGTTGTGCAGCTGTTACCACCATCCAGTGTGACATTTCTCTTACCCCTTAAATATTCCCTTGTGCCTGGAAAGCTTTCAATTTTGATTTTGATTTTAAATCATTTTATTCTCAAATTAAAGAGAAAACTACTATTAATGAAAATGCCATAAATTATGTGGTTTATAAATGACACTTATTTCTCATAATTCTGGAGGCTGTCCAAAATCAAGGCATGGGCAGGTTTAGTATATGATGAAGGCCTAGTCCTCAGAGATGGCAGCTTCTCATAGTATCCTCGGTGGAAGGTCAAGAAGGCTCCCTGGGATCTCATTTAGGAGGGTGCTAATCCCAGTCGGGAGGCTCCATCTCAATTATACTCCAAAGGCCCCACCTCCTAAAGCCACCACTTTAACATTAGGATTTGAACATATGAATTTGGGAGACATAAACCTTCAGACCATGCCACATACATGGAAATGAGCACATAAATAAATACAAACTGCTCATAGGTCAGATTATTTTTTAATGAGATCATAGCTGTGTTTTCTTCCCTGACCTCTGCCTTTTTCAGGTAAAAATGGATTTCAGAGGGCTTTTCATGTCCATCCACTTTTCTCATTCTCTTATAATGTTTTCCTAGTATTTTAGAACATAAATATAGCATAAATCATTTTGTCATTGTTCTCTCTGTTAATGAAAATAGAGGTTGTTTCTAATTTTTTAATCTTAATGCAGCATTAACGTCTATTGCATTCATCGCTACCTCTGCCCACCCATCCATTTACGCATTCATTTGTCATTGGCTGGCTTATGAGTAAACAAGTATTGAACACTTCTTATGTGCTGAGCATAATTCTCAGTCAGTGTGGGAGACAGACAAAAATCAAATGAATAGGTACAACAGAGTATCACAGATTCTGCAAAGGGGAGGCTGGTCCCTTGTATGCTCAACAGAGAAGGAAGACTGGGGAAACCTATAAAAATTGCACAAGAAGGAACACTTAGGTTGAGCCTTGAATTAAGGGTTTGTTCTGACAAGTGACCAAAGACAATCCAGACAGAGGAAAGAGGAAGAGGAATAGTCAGGAGGTGGCACGTGATTATGATTTCACATGGTGCAAAGTGCTAGGAGGTTGGAGAGAGACAGGATTGGGACAGCTTTGCAGGGCGTAACAGAATCCGTTTAATAGGTTGTAGCATGGGGTATGCCATGGCATAATTAGTTAGCACAGCCTTTTGGGCAAGGTGGGAAGAAAAGAACAAAGGGGCTTGGGCAAGGGGGAGCCAGGTCCTGGAGCCAGTTGGCAAGGAGCCTCATCTCCCGGGCTCCGCTCTGCATTGTCCACATCAGACACGGGGATGAGGATGCATTAAAGAGCCAGGTGGGTGCTCTTTCCTATTAGCTCGCCCAGCTAGTGAGCTGATTGTTCCTGGCCTTGCTCTACCCAACACCAAGCCTACCACGTAAAGGTCTTCCTGCAACGGAGCTGTGTCTACTGTAACTTCTAGAACAGAAGCCAAGGATGAAGGTTAATTTCTGTGTCAACTTTGCAGGTCACAGTGCTTGGATAACTGGTCAAACACCATTCTAGATGTTTCTGTGATGGGTAAGTGCCATTGAGTGAATTTAACAACTAAAGTAACTTAAAGCAGATTGTCCTTTGTAATGTGAGCGGTCCTCAACCAATAAGTTGAAGGCTAACAAAGGATGACCTTCCCCAAGTAAGCACAGAGAAGGAATTCTGCCAGCAGACGGACTCCCTCTGGGTCTCTAGCCTACCAGTGAACCCTGCGAATTTCAAACTTTCTGGTCTCTAATTCCTTAAAGTCTCAGTCTCCCTCTCCACACGCACAGTGTGTGTATATGTATATGAATGGATACATATGTGTGTGTGAAAATGCATACACACATATATGCACAATCTTTTGTCTCTTTCTCCAGCCAAGACTAACACACTAGGGAAGACACCGTGAAGACCCTGGGGGAGTGCTTCTCGTGACAGAAGAACATCCAGAGGGCTTTTACTCTCAAGTTCCAGGAACCTTCATGTTCCCCAGGCCACCAATTTGGAAGAGGGATGGAGAGGAGCTGCAGATTAGATCCCCAGCCAGGCCCAAGGGTCCCGAGGTTGCAAGTGATAGACAACAATCCTGGGACATAATCTCTCTCTCTCTCTCTCTCTCTCTCTCTCTCTCTCTCTCTCTGTGTGTGTGTGTGTGTGTGTGTCCATGCAAAGGTCTCTGCTATCACAGGTGCTTATAGATGTCTTCTCTGAACTCCCACTTTTCAGTCTTTCTCTTTCTCCAACCTCTGACACTGGCCTGACCCTGCACAGAATGCTGCTTTTCCCATTTATGTTTAATTTTGTTTTCTTGTCTTTTCTTCAGTTATTTGAGCAAGTCACTCAAATCTTAAAAGATGGGGTCCATGTACTGGAACTCTTCCCTTCTAAAGGAAAGTTCAGAGTCACACTGATGCTTTTTTAAAATACTGCTTTATCACTTTACAATTTATTAAATAGCACTGGGTTCAGTTAATCTTTTAACCTCTTATGAAATCTGTAAAGGGAGGATAATATTATAATTAAGAACAGTGCTCTAATGCCTTATAGACTGTTAAAGGGATTAAATCAGAATATGCACGTCAAGTGCTTAGTGACACACCTGGCATTTCATAAATGCTATGTCTTTCCCCTATGTTGTCTCATATGACTATCTTAATGAGCCTTGGTTTCATAAATGAAGAGGAGAAAGCTCAGAAGTAAAGTTTCTTCCTTGGGACCACACGGCTCACAAGCAAAAAGTCAGAACCTGAATTCAGAAGTTCTGACTTCAATGCTGTTATTGCTATGCACACTCAACTTATGAAACACAAGTTTGGCGCACTGAGAAAATACCTACATGCAGAAGTTTATGCAGATCAGTGCATAAAAATTGTGATTTGGAGCAGTTTCTAGATGGTGCCAGATTAATAAGAAATGTTAACTGATGATATGCAAAGGGAAAACCTCAATCAACAACTCTTGGTCTTGCTAAACTTCTCGTGTAAACTTGAGCAGGACATTAGTGCATCAAATGCTCAGGCAAGTTGAAGGTCCAGTATGCTGTCTCCTTGGCTCTCAGAATTACATATTCCTGTCTCTTCTTCTATGACGCCCTTGGCTAGTTCCTTGCTGCCCCTCCCTCCAACTCCACTGTCGTGATTGTGTTCTCTGTCCTTCATCACTTCTCATCACAACTGTGTGCTTGTGTCCTTGCTGTTTTCTCTGTCTGAAGTGCCCTTGAATCTTCTCTGCTTGGCAAACTATAGCTGCCACATCATCTCCTGGGTGATGCTTCCCCCCTTAATTCCTCGGACTCACATTCTTGCACACCACGTCTACAATTATGATGGTCATATTTTTATTTGACCTTTTCTTAGTAGACAGTGACTACAACAGAGGTACTGTAGGTTGATTTTAAACAAGGTATCCAATTTCTTTATGTCCTTCCCCCATGAATTGGCTCATTTTAAGTATCAACTTGATGGGTTTAAGAGATAGCCAGGTAGTTGATAAAGTATTCCAGGGTGTTCCTGGAAGAGATTGGCATTTGAATCAGTGAACTGATTCGCTCTCACCAATTTAATGGGCTGATTTCTAGACAGAACAAAAATATCGAGGAAAAACAAACTCTCTCTTTCTCCTGGACCTAGGATATTTTTCTTCCCTTGCTCTCAGACATTAGAACTGCACATTTCCTGGTTTTTGCACTCTGGGACTCCACCAGTACTCCTACCTCTAATCTCCCAAATGGTTTCAGGCCTTTGGCCTCAGCCCGAAAATTACACTCTAGCCCCCAGGTTCCGAAGCCTTAGGACTTGGACTGAACCACATCCCAGACTCCCTAGGGCTTCAGGTTTCAGAAGCCTATTGGACTTCTCAGCTCTGTTATGCCATGAGCCAACTCCCCTAAATCCCCTCATGTATCTGATTATCTATATAACGTATTGGTCCCGTTTCTTTGGAGAACTCTAACACACACACACACACACACACACACACGCACACACACCATTCCAAGCTTTACATTATGATTTAGCAGCCTCTTCTCCTCGAGAGGTAGAATCTATTTCCCTGAACCTGGTGTGTGGGTTAGCCTTGGGCTTGCTTTGTTCAGCAGGATGTGGCAGAAGAGACAGGGTTCTTGCAGGCTCCTGCTCTCTTGGACCCCTGCATCTGCCGTGACAACAGCATGTCTTGGCTAACTGCCGGGAAGGACGCTTCATAGAGTAGAGTTGGAAGAGACCAACGGTCCCAGCACAACCAGCAAAGGCACTCAGCGAGCTCAAGGATCCCTGAGCAGAATTAAATATTTATTGTTCTATGCCCCTAAGGTTTGTAATTGCCTCTTCTGTAGCATTATTGTGGTCCTAGAACATTAAAGAAATGCTTTAGGGAATCATCAAGTTTTATTATTACATTAAATTAACTTATTTATTTTTGCAATGCTGGGGATTGAACCCAGGCCCTTATGCATGCGAGGCAAGTGCTCTACCACTGAGCTACACCCCCCAGTCCTTAACTTTATCTGCCACGTTACTGGCATTATTTGCTCATTCATTCATTTATTCTCTTATTCATTACTCTCAAGCAGGTTCGTGTACTGTGTACCAGGTACTATAATAGGCTCAAAGATTAATATGATATATTTTCTGCTTTATCAATAAGTGTTCATGAGATGACTTACATGTTTCTTTTCTCCTTGCACAACTCTAGAGACAGGACTTTCCTAAGAGTTCATGGAGACAATTCTATGTTTGATCTCCCCACAGGTTAAAGTTCTTCCTTTTGTCCATCTTCCAACCCTCCAGCTTTAGTGTGAGCTTCTGTGCTCCTGCTCAGCTGCCCATGAACCTGGGGGATAAAACTCAGCATCCGCCTCATAAAAACTCTTCATAAATTTAAATTCAGTCATTAAGTCAAGGAAACAGTTAAGCCACTTTACCTGAACTGCAGATTTTATTTTGGGATATCTCCGTGGGGAGGGATGTTTGGGATTAATTGAGCTTTCTGGATATCTGCACATGAGCACCGGAGTTTTATATATAGTACCAGAACACCTGATCCCAGCACCTGGAGAGAGAAATTACCCATTTAACCTCCCGAACTCCAATCACAGATCGGAGGCAGTGAGGCCCTCATGGAGGGTCTGTGGCAGGGAGTTGGGTGTCTGGGTCTTGGTGCTCATCTTTCCCTGGACCCTTGCCCTTCCTCATGGCCACTCACAGGATGCCTAAAACCCCTTGGGGCTGGGCTCTGAAGCGCTCACCACTGCGTGCCCCTCCTCCCTCAGTGCACCCTGCACCATCTTCTACTATATGGAAGGGGTTGGTTTTGCAGGATGCTTTAAGTACCACAAACGAAAACCTCTTTTTCTTTTTCATTCTTTCTGCCACCGTAGGGTTTTAAAAACCCATCTTCTCTGCAGAGGGTCTGATAGGTTCACTTTCCTCTTGGTGCCCTGAAGTCCATGCAAGTCGGTGTTCTGCCGCCTCTCAGGACTTCCCTGGCTGTTCCACGTAAATGGGACCACGGCCCCCTTGTGCTTGGTCCCCTGCTATCTCTCCATTGCTCTTCTAGTCCTTAGCATCAGCTGACCTGTATGTCATTATGCACGAGAGTTTTTAAATCTGTTTTCCCCCATGAGAGCTAGGAATTTTTTGTTTTGACAAATACATGCAGTCACATTATCACCACTACAATTAAGATATAGGACAATTCCAGCACCCCAAAGGATTCCCTGTACCCCTTTGTAGCTGGCTCTGCCCATCCCATTCCAGGTGACCACTGATCTTTTTTTTTTTTTTTTATCTCTAGCTTTGCCTTTTCCAGAATGTCATAAAAATGGACTCTTATGGTATGTGGTCCTTTTGACTTATTTCAATTGTAATATATTTGAGATTCATCCCTGAGTTGGATTCATCGGTGGCTTTATTTTTTCTTCTTCTTTTTAATTTATTTTTATGTATTTATTCATTTATTTTGGTACCAGTGATTGAACTCAGGGACATTTAACCACAGAGCCACATCCCCAGCCCTTTTAATATTTTATTTAGAGACACAGTCTCCCTAAGTTGCTTAGGGCCTTGCTGTGTTGCTAAGGTTGGCCTTGAACTTGCTGTCCTCATGCCTCAGCCTCCCAAGCCTTTGGGATTACAGGCATGTGTTCTTCTTTTAATGCTAAATTGCACCATGGTCTTTCATAAGTTAGACGACACTTGCAGTGTTCTCAGTTCTGGCCATTACAAGTAAAGCTGTAGAAAATATTTGTATACATGTGGTTTTGTAAACATAAGCTTTCCTCTCTCTTGGGCAAACACCTAGGAGTGAAACCACTAATGTATGGATTAAGCATATGGCTTATTTTATAAGAAAATGCCAACCTGCTTTCCAAAATTTCAGTTCTGTTGCTCACTCTCAGCAGCAATGGGAGTTCCTGTTACTCTACCTCCTGGCCAGCACTTGACGTTATTAATGATGGTCAGCTGTCAGTTCTTGTCTTGTTTTGTTTTGGTTGCAAAATTCCATTTTCCTAATAACAAATTAGGCTGAGAATATTTTACTGTGTTTATTTGCCAATTATTTGTGTTCTTGGGTGAGGTCCCTATAAAATTCTTTTGTCAAAATTTAATTGGGGTGTTTATTTCCTTTTATTATGAATTTTGAGAGTTCTTTAAATCATCTGGCTGCAACTTTTTAATAAGATACAATTTACAAATATTTCCTTCCAGTCTGCAGTTTGCCTTTTATTTTTAATGATTCTTATTAAAAAACATGTTTGTAATTTTGACAAAGTCAAAATTGTCATAAAAATAATTTTTTTATGGATTAGGTTTTGGGGTTATGTCTAATAAATGTCTGCCTAACCTAGGTTATATGGATTCGCTACCAAGGTATTTTAAAAAGTAACTATAGATTTAGGTTTTAATTTTATGAGTAAGGTCCATTTTTGTATGTGATGCAAGATATAGATTGGGGTCCCTTGCATGGATGTTCAATCCTTCCATCATCAATTGTTGTAAAGATCAGGAGTTTGTTTCTATTTATTGCTACATCTTATTGCCTAGTATTGTGTCTACAGGGAGTAAATATCCAATAAATATTTGAAAAAGAACAAATCTCATTAATTTTATTTTACTGTATGTTTAATTCTAATTTATCTAGAATTAACATAGTGTAAGATTATGAATTAAATGGATTTGTCAAATTACTTCTGTTTTGTTAGTGTCACATATTACTTTAAACCAAGTATTCTTTTGTTAAACCAGACATTACTTAATCTAATTCTTTTATTTGCCACATATTTTATTTACCAAACTTTGAGCCAGGCACCCAGTTGGACACTAAGACAGGAATTCCTTTGTCAATCTGTTGAAGTCTATGGATTCCTTTCTAAGAATCATGCATTTAAATGCATAAAATTAAAACATAGTATTACAAAGGAAACCAATCATATTGAAAATCAGTTTTCAAAATACTTTTAAAAATTATGACACAGTAGTACATGCATTTCTTTATTTAAATATCATAATAGAATCTAGCAGATAATCTAATGACTGCCATAGTGCCCGGGCGGGGATGAGCTTAAGGTATTTTGAGATGTCTGCAACAAGCTGTAATGTGATATAAGAATATCTGGGATTTCTGTGGGTGGCAGAGTCACAGCTACTTCTGATTCTATTGTGGTTTGTTGTCTGTATTCATGATTGAGGCCATGCTAAATTTCTGTTAGAGGTTAGTAAAAATGATGATGTATTCTTTTTCTATTTGAGCCACAAATTTCAACCTCAATGAGAAACTCTCAAGCTGGAGAGATGAGTAAAATGTGGTTTCTGCTCCCAGAGAAACTGCATTCCAGGAAGAGGCAGGTGGCAAGTGAGCAAGATAGTCTACCAGAGGCCAGATTGTGTAGAATGGACTGAGAGGTCATGGTGGAGAGTCTGCAAAGAGGGGTTCACCTAAGTCAGTCATGGAGGAACATAGTAAGTCCTGTGATCATATGAGAACAAATAATTAATAATAAGATTGTTGTAAAGATCAGGAGTTTGTTTCTGTTTATTGCTACAGATGGGGGGAAGAGAAGAGAAGGAAAGGTGAGAACCTCAATGACCAGCAAGATCTCTTTGCCCAAGCCCACTATGAAAAAAAAAAAACATTAACTGTATTTAAAAGCTTGGCATTTAGTAAAACTGAAAACATTAATACACACACACACACACACACACACAAACATACACACATACTGTTGTCGTCTAGGACAGATGATGAAGAAGATAAATTAATTTTTTCCAAATCACAGAAAAGTCTCTTCTTCCTAAAAGGTAGAGGAAGTGTAGCCTGGAATTTGGGGCCAAAATCTGGTTGCCAGTTCTATTAATGTAGACTTGCCTGGTGACAAAGTCCACATAATGCAATGCGGGGAGGGAAGGGGGTTTCATCACCAGACAGATCTGAGCCTCAACTGGTCACTTATCTACGCATTTGGGCCAAGTGACACAATCGGATGTGATCCATCTTTGCCGAGGAGCATGGTTTTTATACCACTGCTTTAACTTCTGAAGAGGCGTGAGATGCTGGGGTGAGTATGTTATTGAGATAAAATTTGAAGATTTGAGAAGATAATCAGTGCACTAGCGGAGAAGCCATTTAACCCACCCATGATATCTCATGAGGAAACTGGGATGTGTACTTCTATTTGTTCATGGCTCTCTCTTTCTCTTTGGCATAGAAGATAAACCTGCCCATATGCATACATTCTCCTTCCTCCACGTGGTAAGCTACCTGGGGCAGCCTTGACTCTGGAGTTGGGGAAGAGGAGGAAGTTGTTTATCTGGCCTCCCTGGTATGAGTGTGCATCAGTGAAAGTACATTCCAGGGACAGAAACCACACCAGTTATTTGAAAACAGAGAGTTTAATATAAAGAATTATAAGGTTGTTACCTAGGTAACTGAAAGGATAAAAGACAACTCCAGAGTATCACAGAGGTAGTAACTGCTAGAACCCGCTACCACCCATTGGCCTGGGGATCAGAGAGGAGAGGCTGGTTTATTCCAGCTCAGAATTTGGAGGAGGTGAATGGAGCTAGACTCAGACCTCTGCAGAGGGGGTGCTTCTGGGGTAGGAGGCAGAGGTTGCAGGGGTAAGGGGAGATGATGAGGCTGTTCTGAAAGGGTTAAAAATAGCTGCAAACTCCTTCAGCCCCTGCCATAGGAAGGAGCTACCTCTGTCAGGGGTATGGAGTGAGGTTGGTTGGTGCTCACAGGAACAGGGAGATGGAAGCCAATCATTGGGTCCCTCCTTTATCTCCAGGCCTCCTATTGTCTCTGTAGTGTCCCTTATTGGCAGGTCCTAAAAGGAAGCAGCTAACAGAAATGCATCCCCAGCCCCAGCATCACAGAGCTGAGTATAAAAGGTGGATTTGGAACTAAGAAACCATAGTGCAATAATGCATATGAGGTGTGTGTGTGAGCAGGCATGGGTGTGCGTGTCTCCATCCCTGTGGTGCTATTGG